ATAGTCAAAGCAGGAGGATTATTAATGAGGATAAACTACAATGTCCAAATCTCAGAATAAGAGTTGCAAGAAGATAGGAGGGTTGAAGGGAGGAGGAGATGGGAGTAAAGTTGAGGGTTTATTTGGCAATCACCATGTTCAAATCTGTATAGAGGAGAACATGGTGATTCTATTTTTCACTAACTATGGCTTCTTTTTTGCAGGTTCTGAAGATGTAAATTCAAGGAAATTGCCCAGAAACAGAATTGGGCAATCACATAAGCAAAATGGTACAGGGGATACAGGGAATCAGGCATGGATTGGCAGATATCACACCCAAATCCTTTTGGAGGAGGGGAAGTTTAATGCTTGTTTGGTCTTTCACTTGGACAAATCTTACTTGGTGGTATCAGTACAGTGTACTCAATCCAAGGAGAGGAATTCAAGGGAAGACACATTTGATTGCAAGAGATACAAATCTAACTATGACAAAGCAAGATTTCAAAGATACAGAACACAAATATCACCAATCACAACACAAGCAAAGCAAGCAAATACATGGAGTCATACAGTTTTAGCAATCCTAGCTATACTATATGTTTTAAGGAATCCCCAGGTGGTGGTATTAGTACTATGTACTCAATCCATCGGGGTGAACTTAAGCATAGAGTATAGTGAGGTAACAAGAAAGGTTACAATGATTAATGCAGAGACTATTGAACTCAATTGCAAGTCAATGGTAACAGAATCACTGCAAAGGCATTCAGAGGTAGTAATCTTTTTTATAATCTATGGTTTAAGGAATCCTCAGATGGTGGTATTAGTACTATGTACTCATTCCATCGGGGACAACTTAAACATAGCTTATAATGGGGTCACACACAGGTTTACAACTCAGAACCAAGAATTTAGAGGAACATACTTCAATGAATCAAAAATTAAAGCAGGAACAACATACATAAAGAACAAATAAGCACAGGATTGGGGCTTTTCAATTACATTTGGCCTACATACATGGAGTGGTGTAAATACAAGCTACAAAGGAAAGGAGTTTACAAATTCGGCCAAAGTTTCCACAGGCATCTACATTAGTGTTCAGCAAGGGGATGTATTGGTAACAGAAGGGGTGGGCTTTAGGGCTTTCACAGCAGATGTAGCAACTGGACAGAAGATTTGTGAGACTCAAAAGCACTTCCACAACACGACGCATACGGATCCAGGTACATGCATGAAGATTCAAAGAAGAAATGGAGTTAGCATAATATATTGGAGCAAGGATGAAGAAGAGAAAGCACAAAAGAAAGAGAGAGAGAATCGATGTTACCTAGGTGATCTTCAGGAGAGAATCGATGTTATTCTGTCACTTGTTCAACAAGGGGATGTAATGGACAATGGCATACCAGAAGGCGTGTGCTATAAGGCCTTCACAGTAGCTGCAGTAGCTAGGAGGAAGAATCAACAGGTCCAAAATCACTCCCATCAGACGAAGCATACAGATTCTTGTAGATTCATGAAGATACAAAGCAGAAATGAAGTTAGAATATTAGATTTAAGCAGGAATGAAGAAGATAGAACTCAAAAGGAAGAGAGAGAGAGGCGACATTACCTAGATGATCTGCAGGAGGAGATGAGGAGTCTGAGGATAGAGGAAATGTATTGGGAATATGAAATGGGTAGTCGGTGTGTAATGAAATGGTGGGGTATCTCGAATATGTTATACAGCTGCACGTGTTGGGTGAAGAGAAGGGTACATCAGAGGCCATTTGTGCAATTTATTAAGGTGGAAAGGGAATTTGGCTACTCATGTAAATACAATTGGTTGGGCAGTGGCTATCAGTGCAAGATGGATCTCATTTGGGCTGGTTTTAACGGGCCATCAGATGGTTATATGGGCTGGTTTGGGAAGGTGTCAATATTGGATTATATAAATAGCTATTGTATATGGTTTACATATATGTGGCTATTTGTTAAATTCAATAATTTGACTAATTTGGCTGGTGGTGCAAGGTGGAGGCTATTTTTGCAAATCAGTAGCATATCTGATAAGCGGCCAGATCTGCTGCTGTATTTGGGCTGGATGGTTATGTTTTTAATATGGAGTTGTATGAATAGCCATTATTTGTTTACATATATGAGGCTAATTTTTCAATTAAAAAAAAACCCCAAGCAACAGCAACAAATGCAAAATCCAACAATTATGACTATTTTCGTTTGTTGATAGGTTGTGAGCTGGTCTGGATGGCTTACAGATCTTATTGGCTTTCAAGATGAAGTTTCAACAGAGTATAATAACATCTTTTGTAATGACAAAAAAGCAGAATCGTTCAAGGTTTTTCGTCTCCTTAATGCATTGAGCAACCTCATGATGCTTCCATTTTAAATGCTCATAGATGCATCCACAAGAAAAGAAGTTAGTAAAAATTTCCCTTTCATTTATCAACAGATCAATCTCTAGCAAATCTAATTTCTCCAAAATTATTTCTGAACTTGTTTTACTAGGTCTGCCCAATATTTGGTCCAGCTTTGATCAAAAGAGTTCTCGCCAATTTTGTTCCAGATGATTTCCGTCCTGATCCAATTCCAATGAATGTCCTTGAGGCCCTAGATTGTGAAGTAAGTTTTCCCTCTCATTTTGTCCTATTTATGGAGCTAATTAGCCTGAAGTCACATAACCTTTCTTACACAATATTTTTCCGGATTAAGGATGTAAAAGATGGTCCTGGAGAATTGCTGACTAGCTTCCCGTGCACTTTCACATTGCCTGTCTATACACCTCCTCCAGCATTGTCTCTCACTACTTTTATAGAGAAGGTTGGCAATCAAGCTCCAAAGATTAGGGGTTCATCTGTACTCAAGAAAACATACACTAGTGATGTTGAACTTGATGAGCTGGACTCACCATTTACTTCGTTCCTCGCTGATAGCTTCAAGGATTATCCAAATTTAGCAAAACCTGCTAGAAATATTGTTAGATACCAGCTTCTCTGTGAAGCGTGGAAGGAGGTTCAACAGTGAGGATACCAGCAAGTTTACATATTTGGAAGAAATGATGTTATTTCCTTTTTACTGAAGAGCAAACATTTACCACCTAAAAAAAAAAAAAAACCCCAAGACAACACATTAAAACCCAAAACGTTACTCTGCCTTCTCTC